GAAAATTTCGTGTGGAGACATTTTGTCGATTTTCAGATCGACGATGTGCAGCCATGGATGACACAGGTTCTTATCATAGTCGCCGTCCTCCGTTGCGAACTTCGCCTAACTAAACTGAACTTCACCGGACTTGGAATCGCCATCTGACTTGGGTGAAACAATCTTTAACAAGTTACATCATGTGTCTGTGTGTAGAGAGAGAGAGATAGAGGGTCTTTTATGCACAAATGCTGAGGGACTTTTTATGCACAAATACTGAGGGGCAAAATGGGAAACAAAAGGGTAAAATGGGGTTTTAAGTTTTACTTTTTTGTAAAAAATTGTCAGAGGGACCGGTTATGCACCTTTTTAAAAATTTGTGGACTTGCATGCACTTTTTCAAAAAGTAAAGACTTGTTCTGCACAAAGTCTATATATGAGGGGGGTTTTTTTGCACTTAACCCTAAATTAAATCCGATAAGAATCTATTACATTTCTCTCCTATGCCCACCATTCTAAATTACGAAATTATAGTCTGGATTGTGTCCGACTAGTCTTACAAGTCCTCTATTGATGTCAAATGCCACTTTTCATCACGCTAATAGTGTTTGTTGTGTTTGGACCAAACTTTGGTCCCAACAATGACAATGAAAGATATTGTAAATCCTTTGCCGATTGACCCCCCGCTTATTCAAATCAAGGTCAGGGCGGGTTGATAAGTTTGGGGGTAAATTCTCAACCCTATATAAAATTAACATTTGACTTTCTCCAGACATCAAGTGGATGTGATTTGACTTTATTCATGACATCGAATGGATCCAAACTCATTTCCATACACATTCGCTAGAAAAATAGAAACAGATAGCACTCGTACTTTTGTCCCGATTTATTGACATATATAAGCTCTCTCATCATGAGCTCTTTATTTTAATTAATAAATTAAAATACATCTTAAATAATTTATTTAAATTTTTACATATCTCAAAAAAATTAGCTCAATCTGATCATTAAATATGTGGAGGTGATGATTCTCTCTCTTGCTGGCATTACTCTTTTGAACATAAATTGTTTGCAACAAATCCTTGTCCCTAAAAAGCATTTTTCTTAACATTAATTAATTATTTAATTTATTTTTTATCATTATAAATTAGGAATAGGGAGACTCGATACATCTGTGGAGAGATAGACTCTTTATCAACTAGATCACTTAATTTACCTTCATGATTAAGTGCCAAACTTTAAATGCTCCCAACCTAGATCCTAGATTCGAACTCCCTTTTCCCCCTAATCCGATGAACTCCTATCTCAGATAAAAATAAAAAGGGTTAATTACAATAATACCTCCTGAGGTTTACCTTATTGACAGTCATATACAAGTTAGTCCACTTTTGAACAATGACACCCCCTAAGCTTTGCTGCCTTTGACAAAGACACCCATTGAAGGGCCGACATGTGATAAAATGACCTAAATGCCCTTTTGGCTTATGAAATGACACAAAATTACTAAATTACCCTTTCTAATAAATTTGAAATGTCCAAAATAACCTCTCTCACATCTCTCTATATAAAACTATGAACAATATATAACCTGACATATATATATATATATATATATATATATATATATATATATATATATATATAGATGGATTCCCCAAAGATCTCGTTCGCAAAATAGCAAAAGGTCTTCTCAAGGTGAATTTTGTGTGTTCTCTATTCTAAAACCCTTGCATGGTTGCCGAGAAAGCTGAGAAAAATTATAAAAGAAAATACTATCACATACGCTTACAAATCGGATGTTTTATTTATTAATTTTTTTGATTGCCAAGATTAGAATCATTTTGTTTACTCTCTAAAGCTAATTAGGTGTTCTGGTTTGGTTGCATGTTTTTCCCTTTACCAAACATCCAAGTCATATATGTATGAGCTTCATTGATTGGAACATGATTCTAACTTCCATGGAATTCCATTGGTAATTGCATTTAAGAAGAAAAATATGAAAAGTTGTAATTGCATTTAAGAAGAAAATTTTGAGAGTTGAAATTCTCACACACACACACACACACACACATATATATATAGGTTTAGCTTTTAAAGCAAATCCATTTCTGGAGCAACGAGAAGCACGCTAAAATCCTGATTTCAAGTTGCAGATTGCGCTATCTAATATGAACAATATATAACCTGACATATATATAATTTATCTCCATACAGATCGTGCAAAATGATTTCTATAGTCTATATATATATATATAGAAGTTATGATTTGGGTCTCTGCCAATATAGAAATATATTATATATATATATATATATATATATATATATATATATATATATATAAAAGTTATGCGATCACGATCGGTCTCTGCCAAACATAGAGATAATATATTTCTATGTTTGGCAGAGACCGATCGTGATCGCATAACTTATATATATATATATATATATATATATATATCGACTCACAGACCATATATATTGATAGATGTTACAGACCATATATATATCGACTCACGGACCATATATATATAAGTTACAGACCATATATATATATATACTGATAGAAGTTACAGACCACATATATATATATATATATACACACACATATATCGACTCACATATACTCATCTGTGGCCAGAACAAAGTGTTCTAAGCCTTTTGCTTCCCGGAGTAGATTCAATCAATGGGTGAAGAGAGAGAGGGCCGGATGGATGGGTTTAGAAGAAATTGGTAGAAGGACAAAAGTGTCATTTTAAAATTTTAATATTTTACAATAAAAATTAGTTAAATATTGATGGGCAATCTTGTCTTTTCAAACCTCTTAAGGATCTGTTTGGCTCCAAATTTTGTCAAGGGGTGCCATTGTTCAAAAAACATCTAACTTATCTAAGAGTATTATTATAACAAATCTCAGGGGGTGTCATTATAATTAATTCAAATAAATAATATAGTAATGATAATAATACCCATAACATTAATTTAACACTAAAAAAATTTGTAACAATTTCTGACCTAAAAATATAGTAAAAGATCATAAAATTTAGCATCGCACATTGGGGACCGCGTGCAATTCGTTATTGCATTCTAATCGCACTTTTCTTCTGAGATAACTTGACAAAAAAGATTGGAGTTAAGATAACATAACAATCACCAAACAGTCAAGAGAGGTTTAAAACAATCCAGTTAAAAATCGCCACATGTCAGATAAAACAACTTTACAGTACACTTGGCAATAAACGATTGGCAGCTGGAAAACCTAAATATAAAGGACCAATGTGACAGTCTCGTAATTGCGTAACAGGGAAAGGGAAAAGAGTGGCTAGGGAGAGAGTAACGTATAGATGTTGGAAGGCCTGAGAGGGGCAATAAATCCCGCTAGCCCATCATCACACATCAAGCGTCGCATCTCTTTCTCTCTCTAAATCTCATATATCGTTTCTCTCTCTCTGTATATATTTATAGTATTGTATATCTGTATATATACAATACTATAAATAATAACTAGAAAAAGATTCTAGTTAGGATACCTTAAATAATTTATTTAGTTAGGATATCTTAAATAAAAAATATAATAATAATAATAATACCCCTAACATTAATTTAACACCGCAAAAATTTGTAACAAAAGAGATTTTCGATCCAAAAATATAATAAAAGATCATAAATTTCCGCATCATGTGCGTTGGGGATGGAATGCAGTTCGTTGTTGTATTCTAATCGCGCCTTCCCTCCGAGATAACTCGATACGAAAAAGATTCTAGTTAGGATAACATAACAATCACCAAACAGTCAAGAGAGGTTCAAACCCCCTTTCCCCTAGTCCGACCAACTCCTAATTCAGATAAAAATAACAAAATATAATAATAATAATAATAATAATAATATCCCTAACATTAATTTAACACCACAAATATTTGTAACAAAAGAGATTTCTGATCCAAAAATAAAGTAAAAGATCATAAATTTCCACATCACACGCGTTGGGGATGGAGTGCAGTTCGTTGTTGCATTCTAATCGCGCCTTTCCTCTGAGATAACTCGATATGAAAATTTTTTTAGTTAGGATAACATAACAATCACCAAACAGTCAAGAGAGGTTTAAATTTTTATTTAAATTTAAAAGATCATAAATTTCCGCATCACTGCACGTTGGAGTGCAGTTCGTTGTTGCATTCTAATTGCACATTGCTTTTGAGATAACTCGATACTAAAAAGATTCTAATTAGGATATCTTATATAATTTATTTAAATTTTTACATATCTCAAAAAAATTATCTCAATCTAATCATTAAATGTGTGGAGGTGATGATTCTCTCTCTTGCTGGCATTACTCTTTTGAACATAAATTGTTTGTAACAAATACTTGGCCTTAAAAAGCATTTTTCTTAACATTAATTAATTATTTAATTTATTTTTTATCATGATAAATTAGGAGTAGGGAGACTCGATACATTTGCTGAGAGATAGGCTCTTTACCAACTGAATCGCTTAATTTACCTCCATAATTAAGTGCTAAGCTTTAAGTGTCCCTACTCTAGATCTTAAATTTGAACGCCTGTCCCCCCTATTCGGACCAACTCTTAACTCAGATAAAAATAAAAAATATAATAATAATAATAATAATAATACCCCTAACATTAATTTAACATCACAAAAGTTTGTAACAAAATAGATTTCCGATCCAAAAATATAGTGAAAGATCATAAATTTTCGCATCAGGCGTGTTGGGGATGGAGTGCAATTTGTTGTTACATTCTAATCGCGCCTTAACTGGATATGAAAAAGATTCTAGTTAGGATAACATAGAATCACCGAACAGCCAAGAGAGGTTTTAAACAGTCCAGTTAAAAAGCGCCACATGTCAAATAAAACAACTCTACAGTACACTTGGCAATAAACGATTGGCAGCTGGAAAACCTATATATAAAGGCATCAATGTGACAGTCTCGTAATTGCGTAACCTTGTGGGAAAGGGAAAGAGAGTGGTTAGAGAGAGATAGAGAGTAACGTATAGATGTTGGAAGGCCCGAGAGGGGCGATAAAGCCCGCGAGCCCATCATCACACATCAAGCGTCGCCTCTAATTCTCTCTCTAAATCTTAACGTTTCTTTCTCTCTGTATATATACAGATATACAATACTATAAATATATAAGGAGCAGGAGGATCGTAAATCGTAATGGGTGGGCGGTAAGTAATCCATTAGGAGGCTCTCTCTCATCTTTATACCCATAAACAACTATTCAGGATATACACATTCTCTCTCTAGTCTCTATATATATTGTCTATATATATATATATATATATATATATAAGCAACCCTTTGCAGAGAGTTTGAATTTGTAGTAGAACATTGATGTATAATAAGATAGATTTGATTAAGAAGAGGGGTTTGTTGATTGGATTGAAGAGAGATATGGGGGCGTATGAGCTCGTCAAAGGGGTGGAGGAGCGGGGGATTTCGGATCTGGAGAACGGGCCTGTTCGGGTTGACGATAAGGTCGCCGACATTGACGATGTTGAGTCGGGGAAGCTTCAAACGACGACGGCGGAGACCCATAAGTCCGGTGGCGGAGACGGCGGGCGCAACACCAGGAAGGCTGCCGCCGGCGCCGGCGCTGGAAAAGGCCGTGTTGCCTCCCTCGACGTGTTTCGCGGATTCACTGTCGCCGTAAGTGGGTTGTTTCCTTTTGCCGTTGTTTATTGCAAAATCTATATATATATATATATACATATATATTTGAACTTTTGGTTTACTCGTCCAAGTTTTGAAGTAAATAGTTTTGGTTTAAACAGAGAAGAAAATTAAATAAAAAGTAGAAATAAATTAGGTAAAAAGTAAATAGTTTCTGTTTAGACAGAGAAAAAGTAAATAGTTTTGGTTTAAACAGAGAAAAAGTAAAAAATTAAATAAAAAGAAGAAAAAAATTAGGAAAAAAGTAAACAGTTTCTGTTTAAACAGAGAAAAGTAAATAGTTTTGGTTTAAACATAGAAGAAAATTAAATAAAAAGAAGGAAGAAAGTAGGAAAATTTTTGCACTATTTAGTTACTACAGAGTATTGTTTGTCGGATACCAGTCTTTTCAAATTTTTTTTGCCTTGTAAATTACCAAGGCAATGATCGGATGATTCCAAACGCTCATCATAAATATCATTACTAGCGAGGGGTTGGCTCGGCTCGAGTGGGGTGGGTAATCAACTTGGCATTGGTGTCGGGTTGAAGGTTCTACTCCTATTAGGTGAAAACAATTTTTTTTGGAGGGATTGTATGAGTACCAGTTAAAAAAATCACTACGAGTGAAAAGTATACATATATTTTGTTTTGTTTCCAAATTTTACCAAGTAGTAAACATTTATTCTTTGTGGGTATGTATATGCCACACCAGTTTTCTTTTATGCACAATCCCAAAAATATGGAATGTTACCAATTATAATAAAATTGGAAAACCTATTGAAATGGGAATTATTTTTGACTTTATTTGTAATTTTGTATCTGCAAAATCATGATACTCTTGTGATGCTTTGCTTATATAGCACATTTCATGAGCATAAGAAAAACCTCAAATCTTGATTTGTTTTGATCTTATTCTCTGTTCAGTTAATGATACTTGTGGATGATGCTGGCGGAATTTTACCTGCTATCAATCATTCACCATGGAATGGTTTAACATTAGCAGATTTTGTGATGCCATTTTTCCTCTTTATGGTTGGAGTGTCCCTTGCTCTTGCATACAAGGTATCTTTTGTTTCGCAGAAACTCATTGTTTATATAAAATATTTGATTGCTTTAGAATGTATTAGTATTTGTCAGTGGTGCGGCCAATGAGATTTTAGTGTGAGGAAGAGCGCAAATGGCATCGTCAAAATTTACATTTGTAAGCTACGAATTGTTCCTTAATATTAAGGCTGTGGATTGACAATTCGAGTTTGAAGCTAATCACTTTGTGCAAATAGTGCTAAATGATCAGTAACCCAGATCACCTCTCCCAACACTCAAGACTAATGATCTTTTATGCAGCTATTGCTGCTGGTTATAGATTGAGGAAGAGCGGAGTTACTATTGTAACCTTATCCAATCACATTCAAGGAATACTTTTTCTATTGGTGTTAACAATTCAACTAATTTTATGAATAGCTAAGAGATGTATTTCATTTGCAGAACTTAACTTCCAGAGTTATAGCAACTAGAAAAGCAATATTTCGAACACTGAAGCTACTGTTATTGGGTCTTTTTCTCCAAGGTGCTGTTCTGGCTCTGTAGAAATATAGTTATTGATTTTCTTTTTGGAAACATTCATTTATAGTGTAATAGAACATAAGGCTATAGGAAGTGTCATGAGAATGAGCACTGACCTCGTGTTGTGTAAAAGAATCTACCTTTTCTCTTCGGCATTACACAATCATATATCATTTTGTGCTTATAATTTTTATTCATGTCCTGTCTAGGCGGTTTTTTTCATGGTCTTAACAGTTTAACATATGGAGTGGACATTGAACATTTCAGATGGACGGGAATACTGCAGGTATTCTATAGGGTTGTTCTTTCTTCCGCCTGCTTCAATATATTATTGTTTCTCTCTAGTTTAGCTAAAATTTGATTCACACATAATTTATGTTGGCAGACAACGAGCAAGTGCTCTCATGTATGTAGTTTATATAACATGTTTTTGAAGTTGCATGACTAATAGTTACAATTCTTCTTTCAGAGAATTGCAATAGCATATTTGCTGGCAGCGTTATGTGAGATTTGGCTCAAGGGCGAGGACAAAGTTGACTCAGGATTATCTTTGCTAAAGAAGTATCGATTCCAATGGTAAGTGGTAAACTGGTAATAGATATGTGGTTTCACATACTTCATGACTGTTAAGTTTTTTGTATGATGGATGAGTTGACTAGCATAAAATGCGGTAGAGCACAACTTTAGGGAGAATCAAGGGAAAAAGGTACGGCAGGCACAGCAGTAGCAGTGAGTGAGATAAAGATTGAGTCTTCTTAAGTCATATATATTTTGGAAATAGGCCTTAGTGGGCTTTGTAAATGGCTAGGCTCTACGCTTTGAGCAATTATCTCTCGGCTACATAGGCTTTTGGTCCCGACCAATTGCTCAAGGGATCAGAAGCATGACATGTGCATTGGAAGTACTTACTTTTAGGAAGACCAAGTAAAAAGGTGCACGCCTCTCCGGCCTAATCTTTGGTTCATTCCATCCAACAAGACACTCAAAACTAATCAAATAAACCTACGACGTAGACCATTTACACCACACAACAACTAGACTAGGAAGCACGGATATGCCTAAAAGGGCACAGAATTAGTGTTGGACACCGACACACGGACACCCCAACACATGTTGGACACACCAAAAAACGTGTTTGAATATTGAATATTTTTTTGAATACCTGACACTCCATGGACACGCGTGTCCCATTCTCTTTTTCTCCCGCCAACCAAGTTTCGCTACTGGTGGATTCTCCATCTCTCTCTCTCTCCTCTTTTCTCTCTTATTCTTCACATCCTCTTCCTCTTTTCTTTCTTCATCTTGTTCTTCACAAACCCTACATTCTTCTTCTTTTTCCTTTCACAATAAATTTCTTTTTTGTGTCTCTTTTTCCTTTTCCCTCTATTCCCCATGAACTTTTCTCTCTTTCTTCTATGGATTCTTACCTTTATTTTTTAACCAAGACAAATTTTTTTCTAACAAAACCCTAAACCTCTTTTCTTTTTCTTTTTTTACCCCCTCTGCTTGGCCCTTTTTCTATCATTCTTTCTTTTTCTCAGCAAAACACTTTTTTATTTTTTTATTTTTTATTACGAGATTGTAAAAAATAATATTACTCTTAATTTCATAAAGTACATCATATATATATATGTATATACTATTTATTATTTGCCGTGTATGTGTTCTAATTTTTTAGGAATTGTCGTGTCGCCGTATCCGTGTAGCGTCGTATCCTTGTCCTGTATCCGTTTCTGTGCTTCTTATGTTAGTTGGGGGCATACCAACCCAAAACCAAACTTTTGGGTTGATCACACAAGAGCAAGGGGCAGACCAACCCAAAAATAAACTCTTTGGTTTACCAGCAAACAAACTCAAAAATAAAACTGTTTGGTTGTGGATTATCCTTACCACTACTGGAGCTGGCATATAATGGCGCCTTTTGGCTTCATTGAAGGAGGATGACATATGACATCCTACTCTCCTTGAAATTCTGATACCAAACTAAGATTTTGATAGTTTAAAACGCTACAAGTATATGCCCTGAGATTAATCCAATAAACTTACAACGTAAACCATCTACACCTTACAAGAGCTGGGGCATACCAACCTTAAACCAAACTCTTTGATTGAACAGACAAGAGCTGGGGAAAACCAACCCAAAAATAAACTCTTTGGTTGACCACGCAAGAGCTAGGGGCAAACCAACCCAAAAATAAAACTGTTTGGTTGTGGATTATCCTTACCACTACTGGAGGAGGCGCATAATGGTGCCTTTTGGCTCCATTGAAGGAGTATGACATGACATAGGACATCCTCCTACTCTCCTTGAAGTTCTAATACAAAACTAAGATCTAAATATTTTAAAATGCTACAAGTGTCGGCCCAGATTAAGGTTTGTGGTAGATTAGTGATTAGTTGAGTTTTGAGGACGCAAAAGAATGGTTTTAGGCTTTTGTTTATAGTTGTTGAAGGCATGCTTAGGCTCCAAAAAGGCCCCAGGCTCGTCAAGACTTAGTTGGAGTACCTCAACATACTTTAGGCTAAGAACCTTCCGTTAGGCTCACAACTCTCAGACGTCTTATCATTCATATAATTTTCTTTTGGTTTTTAAATGAATATGAATTTTTGCACTCCACATCATGATCATACTTAATCTTATTGTATGTTTTGCTGGAATTTACGAGCTTGCGACTCATTTATGTCAATTTTCATGGTAATGGGATGTTGCCCGAATTTTGTTTTGGTTGGGGTCGCAACTTTTGACTTGAAAAGTGAGTGAGAAAAATTTTATTGACTCGTTTTTTCGCTTGCGGGTCATGGACCTTGTTCAGAAATGATTGCATCAAAAAACAAAAAAGTTAATTGCAGAAAATTAGGGATTCTAACTGCATTAAGAACTCTCTTGTGCCTAGTGTATAAGGGCATGTAGGGTTTGGAGTGAGTAACGAGAGAATATTGGGAGAGAGAGAGAAAGCTCGGATTTGGGTTCTGAAACTCATAATCTCTTGATTTTTGCATAGTTAATTCTTTCGCGGATCTTGGATCTGTAAAATACGAACCTAATTTGGTATTCAGATGGGTTTGGAAAAATGCTTTTTGTTATTGAGTTGGGTATGTGTTTGGGTTAAAATTTTTCAACTCAATTGGTAGAGTCCTCAAGCGACCCAAGCATAACCCGAGTCTCACCGGGCCTAACTTGATCGAGTCGCTTGTGACCCAACCAACTTGATGAAGTTGTACAACTTGATCAAGTTGTACAACTAGTTGTTCAGAATGTTCTTAAGCTATATAGTAACCAAGAACATTTTTTTATTTCTTTTTGGGTTTCTAGACTTCGGATATATATGGAGGGAATATTTTGGGTTATCAATGGAATCTCCTCAACTCCTTAGAGTGGAAGGTTGAGGGTTCAAGTCCCTAAAATGTGTTGGTATGTGATTTCAAAAAGATGAAAAATAGAAAAAGTCTCTTTGCAAGTATAGAAGTGCAAAAAACCATTGAGGAATCTTCCGGGAAATTTATCCTAGAATCCTTTGGTTATCATAACTAAGGCTAGGATTACATCTTGCTATCCGAAAAGGCCGGAAAAACTTTGAAAAATCCTCTCAATTGACCTTTATTGGACCAAGCATACTATTGGAATTTTATTGGAATTTTACTAGGACTTTGAAATTTTTTTCCCCCTCTAGTTAGTGGGTATTTATTTAGAGAGGAAAAGAATACACTTCTGCAACTACAAGGGCCATAGCTGGGAAATGCAGAAAATAAATAGAACGACGCAAAGTCACACAACTAAAAGGGTCAACCAGACCAAGACTAGTAAAGCAAGCTTGCACAAACGACTAAACAAAATACTATCGAAGAGCTCTAAATAAAGAGATATAAATTTTTTTTCCCTAGTTGATACTCACACCTCCCCTCAACGAATTGTTTGCACCCAATAGGAGTTGCAGCTTAGACCATAGCACATCAGAAGCCCAAAGGACCATATAGGAGAGTAAAATGTAGAATGATACTCCATTCATGCTAGGGCTCCATTTGTAGGCTGTCATTAAGGCACCAACTTTTACAAGTATACTCGTGGCCCATTCCAAGATGAAGGGAAGTAGATAAACTAAGGAAGAAACCCCTATAAGCAATCGACATGGGAGAAAGAGCCATTGAAATTCTAGCCACTAGGATATTTAGACGGGCTACACAATAACTGAAGCAAGAAGATCCTATAAGCGATCGTGTTTTTGCTTTTGTCATTGTTTTTGAAGCGAAGTGAATCAAGTCTCTCTTTGATTGTATAAACAATTATTTTGCCACATGGTTGTGACTGCTCTAGAGGAGTTTATGTAAGAATTTTTCCTTCCAAATATGATAGAAAAACTTTATTCACAATAGACTACTCTAGTCTTTAGTCCATGAAAAGAATGAAATAGAAAATGGAAAGAAGAAAATTTTAGAGAACGGTTTGATCACAAGATGAGGTCCACTGTGACCATTGTTGGCACTTTTAAGTGTGGATGCCTTCCAACTGTGTAGTCTACGTTTTGAAACCTTGAGCATAAAGAATGTGTAAAGCAAACAATATCTGTCGACACTTACATGTAGAGGCCAAAGTGGGCAATATCTACACAGCGGAGCAGGTCACAGTAGATGATAGCATAGCCAAAGTGGGCAATATCTACACAGTGGAGCAGGTCACAGTAGATGATAGCATAGCCGATCCCCTGAGGGTTAGGCCAGCGCGTCCTCGCTGGCTAGGGTTGACTGTGATGGACTACATCTCTCAGATGGGAGAGATTGTTAGCACTTATTATTACATGTGCTAGTGATTAAATCTTGTAAATGTCTTGTGATGTTTAATGGTTAATAATTTATTTTGCAATTTATAAATTTCAAAGGCATGTACTGTACTCATGTCCTATATGTGGTCTTTACTCCATATATTTGTTCTTTAGTGGATTTGAAATTCTTATGTAACAGCCTACTCTACCACATGGTATGATATTGTCCGCTTTAATCTGAGCCCCTGCATGGTTTTGTTGATGGGCTTTATCCCAAAAGGCCTCATTCCATTTGGAGACAACACTAGCACATATAAGCTCTTCACCTTTACCTTACCCTAGTGATGTGGCCTTGTGCACCTGTAAGTGCCTGACATAACTCACAAGGTCTCTACAATCACCCCCTAGTAGAGGCCCAATGTCTTTATTAACCACACCTTTGGTTGGGCTCCAGCTCTGAGCGCGCATGGTTTTGTTGATGGGTTTTATCCCAAAAGGCCTCACAAGGTCTCCACAATCACCAACTAGTAAAGGCCTAACATTGTTGTTGGCCACACTTTCGGCTGGGCTCCAGCTTTGAAACCATTTATAACAGCCAATTCCACCACATGGTATGATATTGTCCGCTTTGGGCCCTAACACATATAAGCACTTCACCTTCACCTTACCCCAGGTGATGTGGGATTATGTGCCCCGTAGCCTGCCAGTGCTTGGCACCCGTCCACAAGGTCGCCACATCTTATGAGTTCTATAAGTTGATATAAATTTCAAATTTCAATTCTAGACACTTTGTATTATAAGGTGGATTCGGAGTGTTATTAAGATTGGAATCAAAGTGTTTATAGAAGTGTTGGATCAAGGTGTTTAAAGAATAAGTTGGAATTATAGTATGAACTAAATTGGAAATTTTTTAAAGAATAAGTTGAAAAGATATAAATTTATAAAATATTTATTAATTTATAAACAAGTCCAACTTAATTGCAAAAGTACATCTCTAAATAGAACATCTAATGGGATTCAAAATGAAGCAACTTGAATCGTGAGGTTTTAAGTGGGTCTTTTCTCATAAAAAAATTTGTTTTCTTGAATTTTTATGGACTACATTATGGAGAAGAGAGATTTATTTTCTAGTCATAGTACCAAGCCAGTCATAAAGTTTATCCCTGCCGGTACACACCTTTTATTATCCAAGCCTAAATTTAGCTTAAGGGTGCAGAATACTGAAGGCAATGATTTGGAAATCTTGTCATCAAAACTTCTTTTAGGCATATCCCCTGGTAGAGGCCCAATGTCCTCGTTGGCCACACTTTCGGCTGGGCTTCGGCTTTGATACCATTTGTAATAGCCAACTCTTCCACATGGTATGATATTGTCCACTTTGGGCCCTAGCACATATAAACACTTCACCTTCACCTTACCCTAGGTGATGTGGGATTGTGTACCTGTAGCCTGCCAGTGCTTGGCACCCGTCCACAAGTTCACCACATCTTATGAGTTCTATAAGTTGATATAAATTTCAATTCTAGAAACTTTGTAATAAAAGGTGAATTATTAAGATTGGAATCAAAGTGTTTACAAGTCCACCTTAATTGCAAATGTACATCTCTAAATAAAACATTTAATGGGATTCAAAATGAATCAATCTTGAATCATGAGTTTTTAAGTGGGCCATTTCTCATAAAAAATATTGTTTTCTTGAATTTTTACGGACTACATTATGGAGAAGAGAGATTTATTTTCTAGTCATAGAACCAAGCCGGTTTATGCCTGCCAGTACACACCTTTTATTATCCAAGCCTAAATTTAGCTTAAGGGTGCAGAATACTGAAGGCAATGATTTGGAAATCTCGTCATCAAGAACTTCTTATAGGCATATCCAATTACAGAGTTACTAAGGCCTTTAAGGAAAGTCTACTGATTTCAGAAAGCACCATATGGTTTAAATAGGCACCCATCACCACATTGTTTGTTAAAATCTGGTTATACATGTTTTCTTTTTGTATGCGTTTGTCTTAATGATTTGAAATGGTGAGAATAATGGCGAACATAATACAAATTGTAAAAAGAAGATGCAATGAGATGATAGAGCTTTGATGAGTGAAATCAAGATGGCTGATCTTTTGGCTTTTGAAATATATTCCTGATGATCAAGTAATACAAGGGCAGGGTTCCAATTACCTACGCCCTTAATGGTAAATGTAAAGCTGTCAGAGGCAAAGGAAAGTAGTAGAATAATAATCAATTTGCTGGAGACTTGTCGAGCAACTTGTTTATCTATATTGCAAGCGGTGAACTTCAATTTTGAGAGTGAAATTAAGCAAACCTAAGGCAGCAGAATGTATTTTTAGGTTTATTTAGTTTTGGCATCATGCAGGGCAGAAAAGGGAGAAGCTTGGTAAGGAGACAACAATCTGACAGAGACTGATCAGGTTGCCTGAATTACAGAAGTCAACATCCTTTTATGCATGGAGCTTGTTTCTAAAGGAATAGAGAACAGTGCCAATGTATTACTGAAGGCAGAGATTTATCCGTTAGAAGCTTGACATAAGCAGCAGTATGCCCAAAAGATTTCTTTAACTATTTATGAGTTATGACAAGGACAGGCATACCTCCTATATATGACAACATATTAGTAATTCTTTCAATAGTGAACCGGTTGGGAAGAGGAGATGTTGAACTACAGTTTTATGAGATAGGGGACGGCTAAGCGACATGCAAAAGTCACGAGTGAGAATATTCAGAAATAAGGGAGACGTTGAGAATTATTTTTTAAAAATACTATGGATGCCTCTATATCAGTTGAAAACTCGGTGATCAATCTAAAGAGAGTCCTTGATTCGCTTTTCTAGGTCAATAATTGTCCTGATTTGTTGTTTTATCGGTTGCTTAGAAGACAATGCAATACTATATGGATGCCTCTATATCAGTTGAAAACTCGGTGATCAATGTAAAGAGAGTCCCTGATTAAGTTTTCTAGTCAATAATTGTCCTGATTTGTTGTTTTATCGGTTGCTTAGAAGACAATGCAATACATAAATTTGGATGTACGGATAGTCAATAAAGGAAAAATAGCATGCATGCAGTTTCGCTCATTCTTATATCTAGTTAGCAAGTCTTCTACTTTAATCATGCTTCTGTAGTCCTTAATTAGAAGAATTTTGTATTTTATTCCTTATAGCTGACAGAGAAAATGACATTAAAATCTGGTTTCTGTAATTTCACTACAAATGAAGAGTTGATTTTGATACAAGAATTTGTGTAGCAGACTTTGAAGAGAAAATTTTATGAAAATGGAGAAAATGAATTCACACAACACTGATCCATGGTATGCAAAGAAGGATGAGAGTGAATATGTAATGACAATACAACCTTTGATAATCGAATTGTGGCTATTGAAGAAAGCATTTATACCTGATCATTTTTTCTCCTTAGTAACAAGCCTTCCTAGAGGTTCTGTTTTGGAATTTGTTCCTAATTACATCCACAAACTAAAAAGTTTCCCCCTCTAAAAGGTGTTCACAAAGCCACCTTTACTCTTCGGAAAAAATATAATTGAACTTCATTTGTTTTGCAATTCAGAGAAAGAAAATGATATAATTATTCATGGCATGTCTGTTTAACACAGGTGTAATTTAATCCTTCTACTATCAAATGAATATAAAAGATTTTTCGAAACAGAGAATCAATTTTTTCAAATAATAAAAAAATATGTGCCCCATATTTCCATGTCGGGAGGACCACATTAAAAAAAAAAAAAAAAAAAAAAAAAAAAAAACGGTTTGGAGACCCCTTATGCATTTTTTCAGTAAGGTGATTCTGCAGGTTGGGGAATTTCTTTTATTTGCAACTATTTCATGTCTTCCTTTATTACAAGGACTGCTTCTTTTGTTCAAACACCCATTTCTTATCTGTAATTTGATTTTTTTTTTTTTGTTATTGCACAATTGTAATTCTTTGCCACCTTGTTCTCTCTTTTTTTTTCTTTTTCCAGGGCTGTGACTTTTGTGCTTACTACCTTGTACCTATCCTTGTTATACGGATTGTACGTCCCTGACTGGGAGTATCAAATTTCAAAGGAAACCTCTGCTTCGGCTTCGGGGACATTCTCAGTGAGTTTTCTGTTTCTAGTTATGTTTTCGGCGCAAGTCCTAAGAAGGCTTGGATAGAATTTCAAATCTGAATCTAGAATGCCTAAATAAATTAATGTCGTTAAACTGTCTTTGAAGGTCAAATGTGACGTACGGGGAGACACTGGACCAGCTTGTAATGCTGTTGGAATGATTGATCGTAAAATTTTAGGTATTCAACATTTATACAACAGACCAATCTATTTGAGAACGAAGGTATCTTTTTTTTACGTCTATTTTCTTCAATAATATGAGCTTTAGTTAGTTCCAGTTGCCTCCTGGGATTCCTTACAGTTCTATCCAATAATGTTTATTGCTATATCTTTAACAGCAATGTAGTATCAATTCCCCAGATTATGGTGCACTTCCTCCTAATGCTCCTTCATGGTGTCAAGCTCCTTTTGATCCTGAAGGACTTCTGAGGTTTGTATATTACTACTTCTTGAGGTCAAATACTTACCAATCACAAGGCAATATACTAAGAAACACTAGGTTTAATGATTCTGTTGTATGTCTAGTGAACCAATCATTGGAACCTTTATGCATAGACCAAAATGTCATTTGGTCGATCTGACAGTTTTTGCATCTCGTTGTGATGGTATGCGCTGAAATTCCAGCTTGTTTATCATGTCACGATCCCAAAAAAAGGACATCTGATTGGTTAAATTTATTAGGTTTTCGTTATTGGTTTTTGATTTTCCGATTTCTAAAAACATCGTTCTTCACGGTTTCAGTTCACTGATGGCTATTGCCACTTGCTTGGTTGGTTTGCATTATGGACACATTCTAGTCCATTTCAAGGTATTTACAAATTAATCATTCCGTGAATAATTTTTGTTTTTCAAATAGTAGGATTATTTTTGCTTATTTCTTATTCCCCTACCACATGCAGGACCACAAGATTAGAGTTTTGCAGTGGTCGATTCCATCCTTTGCTCTCCTAGTGTTGGGTGAGGCCCTTGAGCTCTTTGGTAAGTTTGTATCCATTCCATGACTTCTGTCTACTATCATTTCCTGTTATAGATCCATGTCTAGTGGTGGTGGCAGCCGGCAGGACTAATAGTTTCCCTATTATAGGAATGCATATAAACAAGGTTCTGTACACATTGAGTTACATGTGCGTTACAACTGGTGTTGCTGGCATTGTTTTTGCTGGAATATACATACTGGTAAGATTTTGAACTCATCTGATACTGCAGAATGTTTTCTTGATGCTATCTAGCATGTATATATGATACTTGGAAACGCAGTTATTTAGTAAACCCCTACACACAACAGGAGTTAGCCCCCTGTCCCCATTAACACCCCCCGACCTGGGTGAAGGCCATATATTGTCCCAGGTCATACTAGTACGACTAGTTAATGTAACCGTTTAGGCTAGATGACACCTTCAGCTTTTCTTCATTATTTCATTCTCTTTCACTAAAGATTTCGCATTTCAATCTTATTCTATTGTACAAGTATGAACTTATTCTTCTTACAGGTTGATGCATATGGATGTAGGCGCCCAACTATTGTATTAGAGTGGATGGGGAAGCATGCGTTGGTGATTTACACTCTCGTTGCCTGCAATATCATACCAATTTTTCTACAGGGATTCTACTTGAAGCGGCCTGGAAATGATATTGTAACGTCTTCATTACGATCTTTTACATATTTTCATTTTGATAATTGTCTCACAATCAATTTTCTCTTTTGCAGCTTAGATTAATTGGAATTGGGCATAAGAAGTAGCAGAGAAACTTTTTGCTTATGCTTCCTATTCTGTTGATAGATTTTAGGCCGAGGAACTTGTACCACGCCATCTGTTGATAGATTTTAGGTCGATGAACTTATACCATGCCATTTAAGTTCAAGTTTGACGAGAGCTTCAGGAGAAGATAGGATAGAGTTTTTAGAGTTGGGTATATGTACAGGTTGAAGCTAATGAATGTTCTCTCTGTTTTAGGACACTAGAGCTGATGTACATAGTTAAAGCAATGGAAGATTCATGGTTATTGGAATATCTTCATCTTATTTTTGGAATGCTTTTATGTAACGACTTTATTCTTAATTTTATTCTGAAATCAATCAGATCCAATTTGTACACAAGCTAAGAACGACATTGTTGGGTCTCACAGCTGATCCACTAAGAAAATAAATCAAATCCTTGTGATTCTAAAGGAAGACAGACAGAAAGTGATCGGTTGAAGCGCACTCAAAACAGATGGATATAATGAAGTGACTGAAATCAATGAGAAAGACTGTTGATTATTGTTTCTAGTAACTAAGAGCGGTGTATACTGTTTGAGCCATGGTGAGTGCAGAGAGGAAAATTGCAGGAATGACGGCCAGAATGGAGCAGGGACTTCTGAAGTAGGTGTTCAAAAGATTGGCTCGCCACAGGTTCCACTGCATCTTACACTGGTTCGACAGATAGTAGTTAGACACATAAGATTGGCTGACATTCTCGATGGGGTTTATCATCAAGAAGATATAGCGGTGCTTGTGCTCCTCCGTAGGTTCCAAATTAATGTTCCTCGCCATGATGGTAAGGGCCAAAGGAGACTGTCTGAGGCTTATAGGCTTTTTTGTTTCGATCTGTGATGGTGTTGGCACTATGTTCCAACTGTTGGAGCTAGTAATCTGAAAAGCAACACAATGGGAGATCAGAACGTCTTGAACTGGGTCATCGAAGTAGGATCGATGAACTCAAGCGCATGGCAGATGATTTAAAGGAGATTATGCATGCATTTTATACGTATTTCATCCGCATAATAAACCTTTTCTTTACAGCCAAGGTACTCTAGAATAGATTGTCCCTCACATTGGATTGATTCTGGAAACAAAAGTACTTCTTAACGTGTTCAGTGTCTTAAAATGAGAAAGTATTAGATGGTTAAGAATCATGTGATCTTGGATAAACTACCACGCAATTAATGCATCAACTTTATTCAATTTTTTAGATTCCGAAACTATATGATCCAAATCCATATAAGAACACCCAAAACATAAAATGTACACTAGAATTCCACATTCCTTTCTTGGTATGAGTAAAAGCATCCTTGCATACTTTATCCATGTGCTGCGTTGTTACTTTGATAACTTGGAAGTAATTGACTCTAGCAGAGAAAGTATAACGCGCTGGATTTATTTATTGTTCTCCTATTTCTGAAATCCAGAAAACTATGTGAGAAAGGTGTGAGTTATGAAGTGTGTAATTGATAAATTTTGATGTCAAAACGTGTTCAATTGAGTTATTATTTATGCTTTATTTTCAAGTCTCAATGTCAGGAGTGGAATAGTAAGGTTAGACACCAAACATACTTAAAAGAGAACATCGTTAGTCAAGGTATATGATGACAAGACTTTGTAGTTCATTTTTCGTGGAACTGCTTAGAAAAGAATAACTTTGGATAAAAAATTTGAAGTCTAGCAAAAATGGACCATTTCAACTTGCTAGATTTTCGTCAAATTCTGTTTTTGCCAAAAATGGACCCCAGTTATTCACGATTTCACTTTCTGTCAAAAGTTCACCAGTCCAACTAGGTTGGAACCAAAATAGAAATTGTTGTATTGTCTAATTTGGATTTTTATTTTTTTAGGAAGATATTTTTGCACGAATTAAACTTATTTTTCAGGTATAGTTAGGTCTCTCTAACATCTATAAAAACTCTCTTTTACTTAAAATTTTTTAACGTCTTTGAAGAGAAAACATTCATACGACTTAGAGACTCTTTGAGAATTAAAATTTTTTTTATAAGAAAATTAAATCTGATTTTAGAGTTTATTTTTATTTTTAGGCACACACTAGTACATGAGAGTGAATTAGGATGGTGTTAACTATTTGATTGGAGTTCAAGCTTGTTGAAGATTTAGTTATTTCTAATTGTGAGTCATACGCAGCGGAATGTATATAGAAAAGTTTTAGTTTGTTCTAGAAAATAGATCTGTGTCCTCAACTTTGCTTATTTTATGTTTTAACAATTAAACAGTTAATCACATGCAGATAAAATAATGCAGAGTATAAAGTTAGAGATGACACCAGGATTTTAGCGAGGAAACCCCAGTTGATAAAATACGTCAACTGTTATGAGAAAAACCTCGTGGACTGTGCAGTCTAAAGTAAACCAATCCACTATGCTTGAAACAAAGTATACCGAACTTTGACTCTGACTCACATCCAATCGTTCTACACCACACCAATCGCTGACAATCCTCTGGCTTTGCGACTCCTCGTCCAACAGCAACTTGATCTCAGATTGACACTTGATATTTGTAGAAGAGTAGCAGGTAGATCAGACAGCACTCCGCGAATGCTCCAATCCTTCCAAAGTGTGACTGCGTTTACTTCTGTTCTTAAATCGTTTGAAAGATGTAGAAGAAGATTTGCTTCGTCTAATCGATGTTGATACAACTGTATGATCACGATCAAGATTTGAACTCCACAACTCTAACCTATCTAGGTGAATATGTGTATGTTCTAGGAAGATTACAAAAAAATCAACTTTGATTTTCTAAGAGGGATTTTCTTCCTAAGGCTTTGTATGATATATGAATAATGCTTAAAAGCCGTTAAATAAACCTTGTGTATGACATGGTTTATATAGAGGTTTGCAAAGTCCTATTCCTCTTAAAAATAAGGGAAATTTCGTGTATAAGACTTTAGAAAGAAATTGGGATAAAAAAGGAAACAATCAGAATAGGAAACTGAAAGTTAGAATAGTACCAGGATGTCTTGAACCTGTTCGATAAATCTTGAACCGGTTCAAGATGGACAGACTCTAAAATCGCCAATTTTGAACCAGTTCAAGTTGAACCTGTTCGATAAATTTTGAATCAGTTCAAGTTGAACCTGTTTGATAAATCTTGAACCAGTTCAAGATGGACAGAATGTAAAATCTTCTTCTAAAATATCCAAAACCCTTCCTCAATGTTCTCACTACCTCTCAAAACTTCTTATAGCATTGTTAACATCATTTCGGAGTGTAGTATCATGAACACTTGAACTTCTTCAAATCCACATCCGATCTTCAATTTTGAACCGAAAAATTACAACTCGATCGGACTTGTTTTGTTACCGAAATATGCCAATTTACAAAAATTATATCTCACAATCTCCCCCTTTGGCAATTTCGTGACAAAACCCTAAAAACAATTTATAATCTACCCAAAGCAGAAAAATAAATTACAATTGTTTAAGGAAACATGGAATGTGTTTATCTCTGTTCTCTTTTGCTATTGGACAAAATTTCACCTGAATTCCTGCACATGGATTAAGCAAAACTACCGGTGAAAGTTTAATAAAACAAATAAAAAACTACCCCTAAATTAAGTATCCAAAAATTTTAGATTTTCTCCCCCTTAATGTAATCTTGTTCTCCCCTTTTTGGAACAAAATTGACAAAGTAATAGCAAAATAACCAGAGAGAAATAATACGAAAACAGAGTAAACAGGAATAAGTTTAATACATGTCAGAAACCGAAACAAAATATCCAAAAATATCAAGTCATGACAATGTAAAAACTGAGCAAAAAGTAATGTCATGATGCAGGACAAAATATCAGGCATTAGTATGTCCAGAAATAATGTCAGAAAGAAATCAATACTCTCAACCATCATTCTTATCATCATCCTTATCAGACTCTGCATCCATTGTTTGATCACACATGCATCACGATGACAATACTAGTTCTAGCTTGCTTGGGAGCTTCTGGAATCTCAATTTCTTTACCTTTGGCTTCTTTGAGTAATTGAGATGCCATGTTTTTCACACAATTTTCCACTTTGAAGCCTCCAACTTCTCTTGAGAATTCTATCAACACTTAGTGTGAACTTCAACACTTGTTCTTGGACAAGCTTGATTTGATTCTTCAAAACCCCAATAATCAACCCAATATCAAAGCAAGCAAAGCTTCAATCACAACACAAACAAGTCTCAATCTCTAAGTTTCTCAAACTCCTAAACTCCACAAATTCTCTTCAACTTTCAAGCTTCAATTCTTTTTATTGATACAAATATAACAATATATGATTGAATGTAAGCACCAATATTATGAGAATAATGCATTTGAAGATGTGAATATATGTGAGCAATATAGAGAGAGAAAGTGGGTACTCTAGAGAGAGAATGGGTGCATGCAATATGACCCAACAATATGCCAAATGGGTTCCTCTTAAATGCAATCTCGCTGCCAGGAATCGGTTCCCACTGGACAGTAACTCCAACTTGGTTCTTGACCACTGTGGAACCGGTAGGCAAATCATGTACCTGTAGCGAGCCTCCAGAAACTTGAACCTCGAAGGTTTTAACTGGGTACCGGTAGGAGCTTTGGGGATCGGTAGGTAATGATCAGTAGGTTTTTAAACTTGAATTTTTTTATAGATATTTTTCCTTGGACCTTTTGAATCACTTAATGTCAAATCAAACCAAAAAAAACTATAAGCTAAAAACAAGAATCTTTTTGAATTTTTTTCAGCTTTTTTCTTTTTTTTCATTTTAAAAATAAAACAAAACACAAATCATTGAGCAATTCAACCAAAGTTTTTCAGGTCCATACCTGATCCAATTTCCCAGAGAATTATAGAGATATCTATGAACAAAAATTCTTGACACCACAGAGTAGTCAGTCAATTTCAATTCTTAGGAAGTAATCACAACATGAATTTTCACTTGCAAATATTAATGAACCAGTTAGAAATCAATCTAGCAAGTTCAAGTGTATGTGTGCAATCCATCTCCTCAATTTCCAATCAATTATCAATAAATCATTGTCTAAGCCATATTGATCGAAAAGCATCAAGATAAGATTGTCTTTAAGCAATTTTTCTAAGTTAGGTAGCTTTTACTCTAAAGAGCAGACAGCAATTCCCCAATTCAACTTGTCTCCACCTTTCTTTTTACTCATTTAGCTCCACTTCAAAGTCTTATGGGAGCTTTCGACCACATCTCAATAGGTCGCCTTTTCCTAAACAAAGAATTCAGCATATATATATATATTTTTTTTCCTTTTTCAAGCTGAATTTTTTTTCAATTTTTTTTAAACTCCTATTTTTTTTTTATTTCAAACAATAACCTTTATAACTTTTATGATCAATATACCCTAGTCAACAAATTAAAAATTTTCAATCAAATTTTTCAGATTTGGACTAGTGCACAAAAGGTTATGAACTTAAGAGATTTAAATTTAAACATCCCTTAATCATTGCAAATGAACTTTCATTGTATAGGTTACAAGCCAAGAATCTATTTTTAATCAAAAATCATGTGTCCAAATTTACATTCAAGATAGATCATAAATTCAATAAAAGAATTTTCACAGATATTTCATGAAGACTATGATCAGAAACTCAACCCTAAACTAAACCCTAGTAAGTGAACCAATGACAACAAAAATTTCTTTTAAAGCGCAAGCTATGATCACTAAAATTCATAGGACTCAGTTTGAAGATGAAGTCCTTTTGGAAACTAGTTCCACGGACTCAACAGACACATAATTGATCAAATCAGTTTCTTTGATCCACACAGCTTTCACTCTCACTTCCTGAAATTCTTTTTCAAATTTTACCTCTTTCCTAGGCAAATTTTCAGCTTTAGAAATCTTAGGTGACACAAAATCCTTTTTCTTTTTAGAAAACACCTTTTTCTTAGCATGAACATCATGAGAATGAATTTTAGAAAAATCTTTCTTTTTCTTGTGTGAATTCTTTTTAGCATGAAAATTTCTAAGTTTATTCTAATTTTGCTTTGTAGCATGAAACCTATTTTGTGCAAAGGAATTATAACCATGAAAATCATAAAAAGAATTATCCCTTTTCTTTTTATAACAATAGTGTTGACTATGTCTAGTTCTACCATAATAAGAACAATAAAGCACCTTGGACACATTCTTAGCATGCATAGGCTCAACAAAAACTTTATGTTTAGGCACATTCAAGTTCACGGGTTTAACCAAAATAGTTTGACCCTTTTTTCAGGATGAAGCCTCATTACAACCTAATCCAGTTTTATCACTTACATGCTTACCAAAACTAATCATCTTATCAAGCTTAATTTGCCCAGAAGTAAAAGCAATTAATTTCTTTTGAGATTTTTTCAAATCAAGTTCAAGAAAATTAAATTTGGCAATAATAGATTCTCTAGCAGAATTAGCTTGACATACCTCGCTCTCAAGGAATTTTACCTTGTCATGAAGATTTTGAATTTCAGATTTGTTCTCCTCAAGCAATTTCTGTTTTTGCTTATCATCCTTCTTCAAGGAATCATTCTCCATCTTCAAGGTATCTCTTTCCTTTTTCAAGGCATCATTCATGCTTTCTATTTCTCTTAACTTCTTAGATTGCTCCTTAACATCCTTACTTAATAGCTCAAGTTGGGTAAGATTTCCTACACACAAAGAAGAATTATTAGTAGTATCATTATCAACATGAGCAATAAAAGCAATATAAGCATCTTTATTGTTTTCTTTATCTTTCAATTTAGAAGGATCTCCTTTATTACAATTTATATTCTTTCTAGTTTTAAGGAACCTTCTAGAATTTTTAGACATGATGAAAAAAATTTATGAAAACAAAACTAAACTTTCCAATAAGGATCAACTCAGTGTATAGAGATCTGCTCTGATACCAAATTGTGAGTCATACGTAGCGGAATGTATATAGAAAAGTTTTAGTTTGTTCTAGAAAACAGATCTGTGTCCTCAACTTTGCTTATTTTATGTTTTAACAATTAAACAGTTAATCACATGCAGATAAAATAATGCAGAGTATAAAGTTAGAGATGACACCAGGATTTTAGCGAGGAAACCCCAGTTGATAAAATACGTCAACTGTTATGGGAAAAATCTCGTGGACTGTGCAGTCCAAAGTAAATCAATCCACTATGCTTGAAACAAAGTATACCGAACTTTGACTCTAACTCACATCCTATCATTCTACACCACACCAATCGCTGACGATCCTCTGGCTTTGCAACTCCTCGTCCAACAGCAACTTGATCTCAGACTGACACTTAATATTTGTAGAAGAGTAGCAGGTAGATCAGACAGCACTCCGCGAATGCTTCAATCCTTCCAAAGTGTGATTGCGTTTACTTCTGTTCTTCAATAGTCTGAAAGATGTAGAAGAAGATCTGCTTCATCTGATCGATGTTGATACAACTGTATAATCACGATCAGGATTTGAACTCCACAACTCTAACCTATCTAGGTGAATATGTGTCTGCTTTAGGAAGATTATAGAAAAATCAACTTTCATTTTCTAAGAGGGATTTTCTTCCTAAGGCTTTGAATGATATATGAATAATGATTAAAAGCCGTTAAATAAACCTTGTGTATGACATGGTTTATATAGAGGTTTGCAAAGTCCTATTCCTCTTAAAATAAGGGAAATTTCGTGCATAAGACTTTAGAAAGAAATTGGGATCAAAAAGGAAACAATCAGAACAGGAAACTGAAAGTTAGAATAGTACCAGGACGTCTTGAACCTGTTCGATAAATTTTGAACCGGTTCAAGATGGACAGACTCTAAAATCGCCAATTTTGAACCAGTTCAAGTTGAACCTGTTCGATAAATCTTGAACCAGTTCAAGATGGACAGAATGTAAAATCTTCTTCTAAAACATCCAAAACCCTTCCTCAATGTTCTCACTACATCTCAAAACTTCTTACAGCATTGTTCTCATCATCTCGGAGTGTAGTATCATGAACACTTGAACTTCTTCAAATCCGCATCCGATCTTCAATTTTGAACCGAAAAATTACAACTCGATCGGACTTGTTTTGTTATCGAAATATGCCAATTTACAAAAATTATATCTCACACCAATTACAAAAGCAGGGTTTTGTTTTACCTTCACAAATTCATATTTGAAGGAAGGGGGATTCAATCATGTTCTGAAGGGGGAGGGATAAAGCATTCATGGAGAGTCCGTATTCTCCCAGCTACCCTTCTATAAGAATTAAGGACTAAGCTTGAAGTCGAGAGCATTTGGACAGGAGAGTCGCAAAGTCAGATGTGTTCAACAGCTAGTTCTTGGTGAAACGGAGTGGGTGTGAGCCTCGATCGCTTCCTCGATACTGCGAAATCTCCGTGGTTTTCGTCCTGGTTGGAGGAATTTCTTCCAACAAAGGTTTCCATGCTAAAAACCATGTTAATCTCTAATTCTATCTTTACTTTACTTGCACTTTATTTTTGCTTTGTGGATTTATTGTTAGTTTTATTTTGGTAAAATTAAAATAAACAAAATCGTACAAAAGAGCAAGTTAAACCTATTCACCCTCCTCTAATTCTTTTTTCAAAGTTTTATTTCACAACCTTTCGCATTGGGCAACTCACAAGGGGAATGGACATAGCCAATTAAGGTCCATAGGGGACATGTGCCCTCCTCAACTTTTAAATATTTGCATTTTTGTATGTATAAATTATTAGGATTTTAAAATTTCCCCCCTTAATTTTTTATTTATTACATTGTGCCCTTGAATAGAATTTTTGATTCCATCCCTGCCGGCTGGTGAACCCGAACTCACCATATCCTATCACATTTGGTTTCAGAGTTAAGAATCCCAAATAATTACTTTTTCATTTTTTTTCTTAGTTGGTACTCACACAAACTTATCTCTTCTGAGACTTGAACCCCTGACTTCCCTTTTGAGAAGTAAGAGACTGATACCGCTAGACCACTGACTAATATATATATATATATATATATATATATATATATATATATATATATTTCAAAGGGCCCTTTTCACATATAAATTAGCTCTAATAAGACCAAATACATTATGTTAGCGTTATATGACCTTTAAAATTACAAAAGAGCCTTATTGTTGATACTATATGGTATGTATATATGATATTTGGACTCACCTTTGAATTCTCATACATATATTCAGTTCTCTTTTATTTTTTTTGCTTCAATTATTATTATTATTCTTATTGAAGAGTTACGGGAGGAATTAGAAGAGCCTCCAAAATTGTGTATTTTGTATGAAAATTAGAGAGAAACACATGTAAGTAACATAGTAGAAATCGAGTCTCCTTTGCTCATAGATGTCCCTCCTGTGCACATAGATGTGAGGTATGTAATTTTTGTATTGACTAACTTCAGTGTCAAAACATGTTCGTTCGCGTTGTAATTTATATTTTATTTTGAATATTGATTTTAAAAGTGGAATAATAAGTGCAAGCATAATTTGATTCGATGTAGACATCATAACATGCATGTTGAGTCAGAACATCTCGCACATGTGTTTAACGTTTGGAAGGGATTAATTGCAAAATTATAATTTTTAATATAAAATTTAGAATATCATTTGTGAAACTAAAGTACCAAGGTTAATGTCATTAATTTCCCTTTAAAGGTGACATGTGGAGTAGTAGGATACCTTGGACAAGCTTGTCATGCTGTTGATCGATCATAATAAAATTTTAGGCATTCAACATGCAATTGTGCAAACGACCTCTATTTGCCAAGAATGGTACACCTTTTTACTTGTAATATTCGATTTTACTGGAAGGCCTAGAAATTACATTGATCTTATGTTATATATCATTGAACCCCTTGTAGAGCTATTGCCTAGAGTAGTTCAAGGAAATGGAAATTTAGGGTTATCGAAATATTTCTATAAATATTCGAAAAAAAATATATTTTCCATCATAATTTTAGGAATAATAATTTAAAGATTGAATTTAGAAATTACCGAATTTAAATTATGTGAGAGGGGTCACATAATTTGAATTCGATAACTGTGGAATTCGGTTCCTAAATTATTATTCTTACATATTTTTTTAGTTGCTTGTTGCACTTCTATGTTATATATGTAGGTAAAAAATTGTTAATCAACTCCAAACGGGTTAGCTTAGTTTGTACAATCCTTCCAACTACTCCCCTTTGATCGTCAGCTTGAGACTTACGGAAGATGAAGCCTGAACTTAAGTGATGCATATTGTTCGTAGGCAATTTCATCCATTCTGATTTCACACATCATCCCAAGAGTTCAAAGTAACTAGCCGGGGTTATTCATTTTCAAAATAAATAATAGAAAAATATGGTTAATTACTGCACGCCACATGAAAAGAAAAGAAAAGAATAGTACAAGAATGTTTTAATTGAATTACCAAGTTCACAAAGCTGTTACAACCTTTTGAAATCAATCGAATCAAATTGGTATGGAGAAGCAAACAACCACATTGTTGGAAAGTCAAAGCTGGTCAACTAAAAATGAAATCAAATCCTTGTGATGACGGTTGGACAAAGAGGAAGTGACTACGCATGAGAGGAGATTATTTATTTATTGTTTGTAGCAACTAAGAGCCGTGTATAGAGTTTGAGCTATGGTGAGGCCTAAGAGGGTAATTGCAGCACTGGTAGACAGAACAGGCCAACGAGTGGTGAAGTAGACCGTGTGAATAAGATTGGCACGCCACTTGTTAAACGGCTTCCTACAGTGGTCAGTGACCCGCTCGTGCACCTCATTGAGGCAGCAGTCCGGGTCGAGTGTGACATCTTTAGAGAGGGTGTTGAATAGATTAGTCACAGCTTTGTTAGTACCGATGGCATTCAGGATGATACTCGGGAGTTTAAATGGCTAACGTCCCCGACAGTCTTGATGAGGCTGTTCATGAAGAAGATATAGGAGGTCACCTCATTCCCTGTCCCGACATGGTACCTCTTAAACGCTATCAGGTTGAGGAACAACGGCTCAGTCACGTCGTCCACCACAATGCGAGGTAGGCTTAGGACTCCGCCATGGAATGAGATGTCTTTGAGGCTTACACTTCCACTTCTCTTGAATCTGATTCCGGCTTCGTTGAGCTCAGACGCTGACCAGATGATCCCACCACCACTTAAAGTGACTCTTGGTTTATAACTTTTCCTAGGGTCTTCTCCCCGGAGCAGGCTCTTCCTATACACATCCAATACATGCAAGCATTTTCCCATTCTTTGTATCCTATCGTTGGAGCAGAAATTGAGTATGAGCTTATTGACAAACTCCTCGTCTTGCTGCATTTTAGCAAACTTCTTTTTTTTGTCAGAAAAAAAAAAAAAAAGAAAAAAAGAAAAAATGAGGACCTATTTTGTTTGCTTTTGACGCTGGCGGAAAAGAGGGAAGGAAAAAATATAGAACAAAAGACGGCAACAAATAGGAGGAGTTAATTATTGTAATGTTTGTCTTAAATGGATTGTTCTTTACCCCTGCGGGCTTGACTGAGTTGGTAAGGTAACGACCTGGTAATGCTCATGTTCTAGGTTCGAATCCGTCCATCGTCATTATAACCCTCGACTCAAATTGTTGCTGAGGTGTGGGGCCGTTGACAGCATCTCAGCTTTGGCTAGGGTGGGTCCTGAAGGGACCCTGCTCAGGTGAGTTCCGGTGCCAGCCAAAAAGAAAAGAAAAAAAAAAAATAAATAAATTAGGAGGAGTTAAATAAGCAAGAGCTAGGCTCTATAATATCATTATCAAAAAAAAAAAAAAATTTGAAGTCTAAATTCTGCCTGCACTTCCCGCACCTATAAATATAAGGTTCATCTTCAACACTACTACATTTATGAGACTATAACTCCCAACTTTCAATACAAGACTCAATATTGACAACTCTAAATCAAAGGCAACTTACAGGACCCAAAATACCAATTACAATAAATTAAATTGAAGTAGTAGGAGGAAAACAAGTCATTTTTCAAAACATATCTTGATCTTCCAAAGAACCACTTTAGCATTCAAATATCATTGATGATAGGGAAAAATATAAACCTACCCTACCCTCGATAAGATTGATTAGATTTCATTATCAAGGATAATAAAATCTAACGTGGTTCAACAGGGTAAGAATAATCCTATCATAATTGGAGGAGGTCAAAAGGATTATTCATATCCCTGACAAATCTGGCAACAAATCTCCTATGATCTCGCACAAGCGGAAGATAAGATCAACCATCGACATCGGCAAAACCAATTGGATTCCAATCGACAGCCATAAATAGGGCACCAAGCCGTTAAAGAAGGTACGAGAAAAAATCCCTAAACAGAATATACATAATTATTATGTGATACGATTACAAGTACTAACTTGATTGTCCGAGGGTCTTCGGCCGGCACCCCACCGGTGCCATTCGAGGTGACGTCCCTTTGTTTTGCAGGTAAACGCCGTCGTTCCGAGTCGTGAGGATTTCCGCATCAACAGCTGGCGCCGTTTGTGGGAACGATTAGTTCTCTGAAGAAATAATAATCCCGACGCGACTTGGCTTGTACGGCAAGACGAAAGTTTCTGATCATGGAAACCTTCCCAAAGTCATCAATTGACAACGGGTTTCTATGTTCTTATATAAGGATGGGACTCTACATCTTGATTACCCGTCTATCATACTGGGGGCAAAATAGTGGGTTACGTGATGCCACCCTTCAAAATTTGGCACGTCGACCCAGGCAGTCCAATATGGTGTTTTCCATCTAGCGATGCTTGGTCCCTTCACTACTGAGGTTTGGTCGTCTAAGACCAGACTCCATCTCATATCGGGCAGCAGCCAATAACCAAGGCCTGATCGTTGAAGACTAAGACCTGGTCCTTCTGCACCTACATAAATGGGTAGGTCTCTATCCATCAAGAAGATCACCACTAACAAGGGGGTCTCTACCTACTAGTAAAGCTTCTACTACTGAGGATGTCTCTAGCAATGAAGTTTCATTACTCCATCCGTTCATACAATCAGGGTGGCCTTTAACACCCAAGAATGTATCGAGACCTTCAGGTCTAAGGAGGTCCAATGTCCCTCAAGATCCCATGTCCAATGAGGTCTATATTCCCAAGCAGGTTCCTAAGTTAAGGGCAATCATTGGACCCAACAAGGTACTGACCACCAGACCATCATCTGTCAGCCGTTGGGTACCACGCCTCTATCCACCAGGCATCAAGCCAGTCGCTGAATACTAAGCCTCCACCTACCAGACGATAGTCGTCACCTCTCTTCCCTTGCAGGAATTGCCTATCGACTTCAGATTATGCAGAATTTTGGATTGATAATCCATTACAGGTTAATTTTTAGTAATTACCCAATCCAATATTTTTAGACAACTGTAAATTGTTGCAGCACCAGACACCCCGTCCGTTGCATAAAAGTCTATAGAATGGGTCATCACCCAAGATCCTAACATCGGGGGCAAAATAGTGATCATATGATATCAATCGCCGATCTACATATGATGACAAGGTTTAGAAGATTGATTGTACCTTGGTACATCGAGCTAGTCGGGTTTCTAGTCTCTACACGACAGGAAGGGTACAACCCTTGGTTATTATAAATCAAGGCTTGGTTATCCAAAATTAAGGCCTAGTCAACCAAGACTAAGAATTGATTGTCCAAAGTCTACAAAGGCTCGGTCATCCAAGATCAGTGCCCGGTTACCCCAAGTTTGGTCATCAGAGACCAAGACGAGGGCCTAAGATCAGGACTTAACCTACAAAGGTTAGGTCAAAAAACGATCCTCCCCCTCACGTGTTATACTTATGTGGTAATTAATTCCCTCACTAAAGGGACAAGCTGAGTAAAGCTCGTAAAGTTTATTCCTTTGCTAAAGGGACGGGTTGAATGATTCCCGTAATCAAATATCCCAGTACTATAAGGGATAGTAAATAAGTGTCCTGTACTATAAGGACCCGGGCTGAATGAATCTCGTAATCAATATCCCCGTACTATAAGGGATAGTAAATAAGTGTCATGTACTACATGGACCTGGGCTAAATGAATCCCGTAATCAATATCCCCCGTACTATAAGGGATAGTAAATAAATGTTCTGTACTGCAAGGACCGGGGCTGAATGAATCCCGTAATTAATATCCCCGTACTATAAGGGATAGTAAATAAAAATTCCTTACTAAAGGGGACGAGCTAAGTAAAGCTAATACAATTTAATTCCCTTATTAAAGGAGTGACGACCTGAGTAAAGCTCGTCCAATTTATTCCCTTACCAAGGGAAGAGTACCCAAGGGTACCAAAAAGAGTACGCCGAACAGAGTACCCAAAGGTACTAAAAATAGTACCCGCGAGGAGATTACCCAATGGTACTAAAAATAGTACCCGAGGGAAGAGTTCCCAGGGCCAAAAAAAAAAAATATAAATAAATAAAATCTTCTACTGTTCACATGAATAGTACCTGTGGGGTACTATTCCAAGGTAGGAAAAAAAAAAAAAAAATCCCGAGTTACTATTCACATGAATAGTACCCGCGGGGTACTGGGTACTGTTCATAGGGGTTAAAAAAAAAAAAAAAACATTCCCGAGTTACTATTCACATGAATAGTACCCGCGGGAATAGTACCCCGCGGGTACTGTTCACAAGGGTTGATGAAAAAAAAATAATAATAAATAAATTTACATTCCCAAAACTAGACGTGCAAGCTTGGGGATGGGGGGCAATTGATAGGGAAAAATATAAACCTACCCTACCCTCGATAAGATTGATTAAATTTCATTATCAAGGATAATGAAATCTGACGTGGTTCAACAGGGTAAAAATAATCCTATCATAATTGGAGGAGGTCAAAAGGATTATTCATATCCCTGACAAATCTCCTATGATCTCGCACAAGCGGAAGATAAGATCAACCATTGACATCGGCAAAACCAATTAGATTCCAATCGACAGCCATAAATAGGGCACCAAGTCGTTAAAGAAGGTACGAGAAAAATCCCTAAACATAATATACATAATTATTATGTGATACGATTAAAAGTACTAACTTGATCGTCGGAGGGTCCTCGGCCGGCACCCCACCGGTGCCATTCGAGGTGACGTCCCTTTGTTTTGCAGGTAAACGCCGTCGTTCCGAGTCGTAAGGATTTCCGCATCAACAATTGACAAGGCTGCCAAGTAGACACTACATCAACTTTTCTATAAAAACAGTTCTTAAAGATTTAGAAAATAAATAATATTTTCAAATAACTATATATAAAAGATAGTTTTGTTAAAATAAATAAATAAATCATTTTTTTATCTAAGTTTACAACATATAGTTTGAGCTGAAATCGTGGACAAAATAGATTTGTGTACAATTTTTTATTTTTCAATTATAAAAAAAAACACAATATCGTCATAAATTAAAAGATAGAACCAAACATGCCCTAATTTACTTAATTTTTTCTTATTTGCAGAACTAATAGGAAAAAGAAAGAAAAAATGAAGAAGAGTAATTGTAATGTGGAGGGAGCAGAATTGAACTGCTCCAAGTTGGAAACGGAAGGGCATTAGTTTTTTTTCGTATGCTATGGCAGCTTAGGATGATCCCTGAGTCTCACTTTGACATAGATGTTAGGTGGCATGATCCTTTTGAATTGTTTCATATTAATGTAAAAATCTGTAAAAAGTTGAGTCTATGCATGCTCATTCCCTACGAGTAACTTGTTTACTCACCCCAAAGTTATCGGGTGATTTGTCCGGTACGGATGCCTTGGTTCGAGATGCACATCATTCCTTGGGTGACTTGTAACTTTTAATTTTACACTTCATGCAAATATTAGCATGAAATGTCATTTTGTAGCATTATATGTCAAAACTTGTATATTTGATTTCAAATATGTAATGTGTGTATAAGCACACCTTTTGGAATGTATTTGATATGTATGAGATGAGGCCAGAGGCCAATGACAGTTGTCTTGTATCCTATATAACTTTTAACTTTATGAAATATTATGGAAATATTGAAAAATGACAAGTTATTGCTTCACTATGTTTGCATTGGGTGTGGGAATTCCATTTTTATTCTTTCATAGGGTCTCATTAATCATGTATGAAGTGTGGCCAAAGGCCAAACGGTAATTTGAAACCATTTCATAATTTTGAATTTCAAAATTTTCATTTCATGTGCATATTAGCCTTTTTAGCCGTCTTGGGGGGGGGGGGGGGGGTCGGATTTTGTATCGGCCGTTTTCGGGAGCCGCGGACCATTCCCGCGCATTCAAAATCACTTATTATGTTTGCGTGCATATTCATTTCAGCTAGAAATGCATTTGG